TAAAAATAACCAAGTACAACGAGAGAAATCATCAATAAAAGTAACAAAATATTGAAAACCTAAATTAGACTTAACACGACTGGGTCCCCAAATGTCGAGTGAACTAAGGCAAAGGGGGATGAAGCACGCTGGGAAACACTACGAGAAAAGGAAGTACGACTATGTTTGCCTAACCGACAGGACTCACATACCAAATTGGACAACCGGGATAAGCCGGGAACAAGTTGCTGTAATTTGCGCAGACCGGGGTGACCAAGCTGAGCATGAAGGAGAGAAGGAGACTCCATAACCGTGCCAACATGTGGAGAAGGTTGAAGATAATAAAGTCCATGTGACTCACATCCGGTGTCAATCACTCTTTGCGAGCTCCGGTCCCGTAGGGAAACGAAGTTTTGGTAAAAGAGATAACACAATCAAGAGATCGAGTTAGACGGCTAATGGATAATAAGTTAAAGGGGGACCCGGTACATACAAAACATTATCAATGGACAACGAGGGAAAAAGAGTAACCGTTCCAACACCATGAGCTAAAGTTGTAGACCCATTAGCCATTGTAACGAGAGGGTAAATTATGAGAAGAAGTGAAAGAGGAAAATAAGGATTTGTTACCGGTGATGTGATCGGTGGCGCCTGAGTCAAGAACCCAAGGGCCAATAGAAGAAGAGTGAGTCGGACCAAGCAAAAGATGTACTCGTGTGGGCAATGAAGTAGTGGAACCGGAGGGCTTTCGATCCTCATACCATTGAAGAAAATCATTGAAGATAGCAGATTTGTCTGAAGGTACAGACGAAGGAGGATCCACAGCAGAGGATTGTGCGGAAGAATCAGTCTGAGCAACTGAGTCGACGGAGGTAACTTCGAGACTGGAAGTGGCAGCGGAAGATGCCATGGAGGAAGAGAGAGAAAAACCCTAAAACACCAAAGAGGTCCGATTGGAGCAGCGAGGACAGATCCAGAGAGAGGAGAAGGAGGCGACGCCGGCGCAAAGATCGGCGGCCTGAACGGCGGCGAGACGCGCCGCCACGCGCGGCGGAACGGGAGAAGGTGGCGCGGCTTCGGGAGGCGCGTGAGGGAGCGTGGCTGCTCCGATGACCGCGAAACTTCCACGGTGGAGGTCGCACGGAGGAGGCGAGCAAAACCCTGTGCTCAGCGGTCCGAACTGCTACTCTGGTGACGGCGGCGGCGGCGGCGGCGATGGAGGCGGCGACAGCTGCAGGTTCAGTGGCAGAGCCGAAAAAAATCCCAAGAGACCTTAAGCTCTGATACCATGTTGAATATAGGGTTAATTTCCCTTATGTATTTACCACACATAGGACAGTGTATTTATAATAAAGAAAGGTACTCCTCAAAAGAGTAACAGAATACAAATAGGGTAAATAAAAAGATATTATTTGATATTGTGATTAACAATATCTAACAATATCTCAACAATATCAAACAATATCAAATAATATCTAATCATATCTAACATGTTGAAAGTCCCACATCGCCTACCTCATATCATTTGGTATGGTTTAAATACATGTTAGGCTACTCCACATATTGCCAATTGGTTTTATGTTGGAACCTTAACATGGTATCAGAGCCAAAGCCTAACATCTTTTCGGTTATTGTCATGGGCCAAAAGTTGCCCTTTAGTTGGGTCAAAAGTACCCTTTGCCTGGTCCGGCAGGCTTCGTTGGAGGGGGTGTGTTGAAAGTCCCACATCGCCTACCTCATATCATTTGGTATGGTTTAAATACATGTTAGGCTACTCCACATATTGCCAATTGGTTTTATGTTGGAACCTTAACAGTAACAATTTGATCTCTTGAAAAAGCAAGTAACAAAATGTTGTAGCAAAATCTAGTGCGAAAGCAAAATATAGAGTTAAAGCCTCAGCTACTTGTGAGTTTATTTGGCTTAAAGAATTATAATTTGGAGAGATGATTCAAATGACACTTATATGTGACAATCAAATTGTTCTTTATATTAGCTCAAATCCCATTTTTCATGAAAGGATCAAACGTATTGAGATTAATTGTCATTTTATTCGAGAAAATATTGTATCTAAAGAAATTTGGTCTGAGTTTGTTAATTCTAATAACAATGAGTACTCTATTTATAATGAGGAAATGAAAATGGCATAAAATTATTTTTCATATTTCTTTCATTCTAGTTTGTTGAGCTACCCTTGCTCGAAAAGGGAACTTGTGAACCCTAACATCTTTGGTACTTTCATTGACGAACTATGCCTAAGGGAGAGACTAGTGTCACATTAGAGAAGGAAAATGAGGAGCTAGTAGTACAATGCTTGAATCAAATGTCAAAATTGCAACAACAATTTGCTACCGTTATAACAAAGGTTTCCAATCTATTTGACTTCCACCACAAGGTTTCATACGCGCCCACCAAAGATCAATCATTTCACCTTCAATGAAATCGACCCCTAGAGTGGTTTTTTTTGGGTGGAATAACATTTCATGTTGACACAAAGAAGGTCGGTTCAATGTCTTTCTTTGTTTCCCTTCTTCATGTGAGGACGTGTGTTGAAGTGGTATCAATGAATACACACCAATAATCTGTTGGCTGCTTATGCAAAGGCGTTGCAACTATGCTTTGGTCCTTCAACATATAATAACCATCAAGCATCCTTGTTCAAGCTTTTGCCAAACAGGGATAGTAATGGAGTATCAAGCAGAAGTTGAGTTGTTAGCCAATAGTGTATAGGGTATGACCCTTGAATTCTTGTTGAACTGATTTATTTCAGGGTTGAAAAACGAAAATCAAAGGATACACACCAATAATCAATTGGCTGCTTATGCAAAGGCGTTGCAACTATGCTTTTGTCCTTCAACATATAATAACCATCAAGCATCCTTGTTCAAGATTTTGCCAAACTGGGATAGTGATGGAGTATCAAGCAGAATTTGAGTTGTTAGCCAATAGTGTATAGGGTATGACCCTTGAATCCTTGTTGAATTGATTTATTTCAGGGTTGAAAAACGAAAATCAAAGGGAGTTGGTTGTCCTTTGTCCACATTCCTTATCTCACAATTGGTATTTTGAACTTGCTTGAGAATAAATTTTATGATAGTGAACAATTCCAATTGCGAGCATTCCGATCGTGTCATATAAAGCATCCCTAGGTTGCTCAATTCGTGGAACTTCCTATCACTACATTTCCTCCTTTTTTAGCATTTCTGGGCTCCAAATTTTGTTCTCAAGTTCCTTTACAAATGGCATCACACGCATTTGACATTCCCTATTCTATGTTACCCATCCATGTTGCAAATGTAGTCCTTGGGGTCCAATGGTTGCAAACCTTGGACCATTTCCATTCCTTCAACTTGGTTTTGATTATAGCACAAAACGATTACCATCATGGGTGACAACCATACTAACCCCACCTTTGCTAAATACTTTCAGTTTTGGAGGTTTCTGGTGACAAATTTTGCATCAGACTATATGCCAATGGCAGTGCAACCTATTTCTAATGATAAGGTAGGCATTAGGCCTTGTCAAACAAGCCCAGAATTGCAAGCATTATTACAAGAATCCATAGAGGTTTTTGTGACACCCAATGAATTACCACCTATGTGCGATACGATGCACCATGTGCATTTGGAATCTAACACTCATCTTGGGAATGTACGACCCTATCACTACCCATATTTCAGTGGTCATTACAACAGTGATAAATGAGATGCTTAAGGAGGGAACAATTACACCAAGAACCAGTCCCTATTCTTCACCAATATTCCTAGTGAAAAAGAAAGATGGATCGTAGAGATTATGCATTGATTACGAAAACACAATTTAATTACCATTAAAGACAAGTTTCTCATTCCTAATATGGATGAGTTGTTAGTTGAGCTATATGGAGCACGTGCATTTTCCAAAATTGACATTAGGTACAAGAATCACCAAATCAGGTTGCCCCAATGAGGATACACATAAGATGACTTTAGAACCTTAAATGGGTATTTCGTGTTCTCAATCACGCCTTTTATCCTAACAAATGCCCCTTCCACCTTCCAAGCTAAGGTGAATAATCTCTTTCATCAACATTTGCATAAACTAGATCTGCCATACTCTTTCTGCATCCATAACGTCTTTCGTGTCTCTAAGCTATGACCTTGTCATGGCCAACCGCCATTCAAGATGACCCCTTTACTTGTGTCCCTGACTTCTCAACGTGTTTTGCTCACTCCACATCAGATTATGGGGTTTCGCACCATTAAAGGAGAAGGTAGTTCATGATATCAGGTTCTTGTGCATTGGGAGGGTGCTTTGAGGGTAGAGGCTAATTAGGAAGATGAGGAAGAGTTAAGAGCAGCTTATCCTTATTTGGACCTTGAGGACAAGGTCCCGCTTGATGAGCAGGGTATTGATACAATCCCAAAACTGGACCAGGAAATATGTGATAAGACTGGCCCTAAAATAAGCAAAGGTCCAGTATGAATAGGCCAAAAAGGGAGAGGAAGAAGCCTGCTCGGCTTGGAGAATACCACACTTAATGACTCATGCCTAGCACTTTCGTTATTACTTCCACACTGCTGTAATTTCCTTTTATTTCCATTTTCAGTTTGTTGCTTCTGGTATACACGTGGCATCTGATCCAGATATTGTGGTAACTGTCATGAGTACTCTATTTGTAATTCGGTGAGGAATGTTTCTTTCATTCTAGCTTGTGGAGCTACCCTTGCTCAAAAAGGGAACTTGTGACCCTACCACTTTAATATTATGAAATGTGCACCAGATGTTGTATAAAGCTATAGAGCATAGTATATTGTTTCTAGTGTTGCAAACAATTGTATCTACTATGAGGGCACCAGGCAGACCATATAAAGAATGAAATGCTCTACCGATCAGGATAATAATTGTCTGTACCTAGTATGTAAAATTAAAGGACCTGTATCAAACCAATTAACTGTTTCACTGAGAAACAGATGATATCCTTCCTAATATGGCATGCACCTTATTGCTTTAAATACTTGTTAAGAAAATAACTTCAGAGCTTAATCTGATATCCAAACCAAGACTTCTGCAACATCCTACAATCAAAATATAACATGTCGAAAATAAAGAATAGTCTAAATGTAGCTAAGAAATACATGATAAACAGTACCTTCACTTCATCGTAGAGCTTTCTTTCCCATGCATATAATCTATCCAAGGTTGATGCATGACCTCCAGAGATCATGCATAAACTATCAAAGAGATTATTTGTAAGGTCCTCTATATCATCTTTTGAGTTTGGTCCCGGAGGGTTAATGGATGAAGAAGATCGAGAAGACATTGTCCTTTGCCAAGTTAAATACTTAACCGAGTTTTGAGCAGGTTCTAAGAAGATGTAGTGAAAAAAAAAATAATAATAATTAGATATGAGATTCCAGAAAAAGCGTTCAACAAACAGCAATCACTATAGATAGAGATTTTTAAAATCTTATAGTTTCAGAAAATTGGTTAGTCGTTAGACAACAAAATAAGTAACAAAAAGGCTAGGATCATGAAACATATTAACAATTTAAGTGGACCAGACCTGATAATGTTGAAATTCATTATAAACTTCCTATAATCTCGTGCACAATTCCAACAATACAAACATTTAATAAGAGGATATATCTTCCCACATATATGTAATCCAAAGAGATCAAATCTGAACCAAAAATCAGACTGCTCAACAAAATATCTACGTAACGAGAGAGATCAACAGCAAAAGACTATGAAATTACCTTCTGGAAGCTGACTTGGGCCTTCCCCACATGAGAAACATGCCTTTAAAAATGAGGGTGTTGCCAAATGATCTGTTATAATAATAATTTCCAAGTTTAAGCCTTATAACGTTTAATCTTGAAGTGAATAATGTAAAGAAACTTTCAAAAACCTCATTGAAATTGAATTTTTCTTTTAAACCCAAAGAAGAACAAGATATCTTGTTCACAGTAAGCTTTATAGACATTTACACAGGAACTGCGTAGCTAAAGGGTAAAAAAGCTTTATCTTACGTGACATATACTATAAACAACAAGGAAAAACGCATCAGACCATAAAAACATGTTATTATTTTATTTGTCTTTTCTATAAATGGATTTGAATGCTCTCATGTGACTTTTTCACATGACTAAGTGTGACAAACAGAGACCTGGCCTCAGGCCCGTCAATTTTGACAGTGCCCAGAATATTTTGTCAGTATATCTGTCCATATTATCTTGTCAAGTAACCTCCTAAAAAACTCTAAAATTTAATATTATCCAAATTATACTAACAAAAAAAGATATGGAGATTAGAGAGCTAGAAAAATTACTTTCTTTAGCAGGCAATAGAGGACGAAAGTGCAACTTATTTGCCTCGAGCATTCTTGGAACCTCTTTACCAGATTCAGAGGCTTTAACAAAGAGGAATTCAATATCTTTCATGCTTGAAAAGAGATCCTTAGGAACAACTTTTTCACTGTGATTTTCTTGCTCCATCAATTTATTTGATTCAGTTGGAAGTGGAACTTCTGTGGAAGCTGTCTTTAATGGTGATACAACAGGGGAGTTCCCCTTCTCCCCATTCACAAGTTCAAATTCAGAAGTAGAATCCCCATTCAGAGGTTTATTTGTGGCAGGTGAGTCATTGGCTTTAACATGATCATTAACTCTATTAAAATTTTCAAATCTTTGGACTAGGGTATCAGTGGCAGGCTCATCATCAAATTCATCTTCAGAGTCCATAGAGTCTTCCCTCCCATGAGATGAAATCTTCTCATCATCTTCTAATTCAGGAATCCCTTCCTCCTCCGTAACTTGGGTTATATCATCAGCATTCCCCACCATATCTTGGTGAATGGCCTTCCCATCTTGAAAAGAAAACTGGTGATCAATAGGATGAAAGAGACCAAAATAATCCCATGGTGGAGTTTCAACTGGAAGAGAAGAATCTTCAGATGCTAATGTTTCAGACTTTCCAGAGGGATGAAGAGCAGCATTGTATGGAGTTTCTGATGGTGTTACTGTTCCAATAACAGGTACAGGTGGTTTTTCTTCAACCTTCTTAGAAGAACTGGTGCTAAATTTCATATGATTTGCTTGGAACTTAATAGAGCTAGGTGGAGAGGGAGTTGGAGAAAAGGTTTCAGTTGTATCAATGCGTTGTGATACAGATGCCAAATTCGATGAGAATTGGGACAGGGTTTTCTCAAGTGCCCCCAGTGTGGCATTGGTAGAAGTGTATAAGGAAGAATCAATTGGTGCTTCAGGTTCTGTGAATTTTCTCAAAGCTGTTCCTGTACTTTTCAATGACTGGACATATGAAACATGAGCAGCTGCTAAAGAGCAGCGCCCGTCAAGTGCTTGCCTTACAAATTTCTTCCTTTCACGGCACAGCTGGAGTGCCTTATCATCATCCATTTTGGAGTTGGAGGCCCCCATTAGCCCAAATCTAGTCTTAGTTTTCTCCCTATGCAAATTTTGGTGTATAACTTCTATCTGCATATTAATTCAGCATCAAATCTATTAGAGAAACAACAATTTATTATATACAAGTAGTAACGACAATAAACACCGCAAATAACACAAGAAATTACAGTTCAAAAGCACATATCCAGATTGTGAAACATAATAATTGTAACTAACTAGCATTCAAGTATAAACTACCAAATATCTCCATCTTCGTCGTTGTATGTGACAACAGATATAACTCTGTACCATCACATGGACAAGAGATCAAAACTAAAAACAAAGTTAACAAAACAACAAATCCACTCTCCCAAGAAACAAATTTTCAAGCACGTTTGTTCGCATATGAAAAAGGAGCAAACAAAACAAATTACATTCTCAAACAACACTACCCTTGCACAATACACACTAAAACAGATGATATCATTTTGACATCATAAAAACAAAAAATAAATAAATTAAAAACCAAGTTGGGGGCAAAGAGACAAGAGAACCCCATGAATATTCCCAAAGCCAAAGTTTCCCAATTTAGCAAACCAATTCACATAAACTACATCACACTCTCAATCCAAAACCCCTCAGCTTTCCCACTAAAACTACCAAGCTGTTTAAATAATAAAAAGGGACAGCACAAAGAAGATAAGCCAATACAGCAAACTAATATAGCAACAAAGGAACGCAATCTTCACGAGCCAATACTAAACAAAGTGCTTGAAGATGCAAAAAGGAAAAAACTTTAACACAAACGAAACCACTTTCAATCAACCCGAATGACACAGTGAACACAAAAACAAAACAAAACCACAAATAAAAGAGCTGTGAATAAAATTTGATAAGGTTGAGAAATTTGGGGTACCTAGAGTGCAGTGAATCAGTTGTGCACGGCAGGAACTTGGATTTCAGCGAGAATCGTGAACTGAGAAGCACAGAACTTTTATTTAATTTTCTAGAGAGAGAAAGAAAATGGAGGACGAATCTCGATCGGCCCATCAGACGTTTCCATGCAAAAAGGCATAAAAAAGGACAAACCATCTGAGTTTAGCCTGTGGACCCCACTCATGTTTGGACACACATTGACCATTTTCTGTTTCAATGAAAATTGAAGGAAAATATTGGGTCTTGCTGTGGCTATCGTCGCCAAAACATGTTTAGAGAATTGAAAATAACTTTTTCATTAATGATCACATTACTAATGCATCAAATTTTTTTTATAAATAATATCATTTTAAAAAATATTATTTACCAGAAAATCAACTTTTTTTAAGTCAGAATTTCATCCTTAATTTTTTTTAATTTTTGTTTCATTAATTTTATAAATAGATTTTTTTTATAATTTTAAATATAATTTATTTTTAAGTTTATAATTATTATTTTAATTTATACAATATATATAATTAATTTAAAGTTCATATATATAATTTTAATTTATGTAATATATATAATTATAATTTATAAAATTTATTTAATATTAAAAACAGATATATTTTTATTAATTTTATAATTATAATTTTTTTACGATTATAATTTTAAATATAATTTTTTTAACTTTATAATTATAATTTATATAATATAATATAATTTATAAATAATTATTTTTTTTAATTTTAATTTGATATATATTTTTTATTACTAATTATTTAATATATATTTAAAGTAATTTATTTATATATTTATATATAATATTTTATCATTTTATTTGTATAAATAAAAAATAATTACTCCAATTTAGAATAATTATTTTTTACTTGATTAATTTGGAGTGATTATTTTTTATTTATACAAATAAAATTATAAAGTATTATATATAAATATATAAATAAATATCTTTAAATATACATTAAATAATTACAAATAAAAACATATATCAAATTAAAATTAAAAAATAACTACTTATAAATTATATATATTATATAAATTATAATTAAAAAATTAAAAAAATTATATTTAAAAGTATAACCTTAAAAAAATTATAATTATAAAATTAATTAAAATATATCTATTTTTAATGTTAAATAAATTATATATATTATATAAATTATATATATATATATATATATATATATATATTACCTAAATTAAAATTAAAATTATATATATGAACTTCATATATATATATATATGGGCATAAATTAAAATAATAATTATAAATTTAAAAATAAATTATATTTAGAATTATAAAAAAATCTATTTATAAAATTAATAAAACAAAAATAGAAAATAAAAAAATAATTTAGAAAAACCAGTTCAGAATTCGGTTCCGGTCACTGGAAAAATAAAAAAAAAAATAGAAATGGCAGAATTCGATTTTCCATAACTGAATTCCAAATGTGAACCATGAATAATACTATATGGGTAAATAATGTTGTATAAATGTTATTTTAGGAAATATTTTTTAAAATAATATTATTTATAAAAAAAAAGTCAAATCATTAATGACACTTTTAATTAAAAATGTTTTTTTTATTTTCTTAACCAGGTAGTTACCATTAATTAGAAAATTAAACGTCTTAATAGATGAAATTTTCTATACTGTTATTTATGTTCTTTTTAGTTTTAAAGAACAAATGAAAATGGAAAAAAAAAGTTAAAAAAATTGGTTAAAAAAAAAAAAAATATATATATATATATATATATATGCAATTATTTTGGCAAAGTATAAATAGATGAGAAATAAAGAAATATTTTAAAGAGTATATAATTTGACTGGGTTGATAAAAAAATTATTTAGATAATACAAACGCAAATAAATAATTAAAAAAAAAATATTCATTTTCAAAAATAAATTCTCATGTTCTTCCCTAAGTTACCAAATTTAATTTTTCTTCATCTCTATTTTTCATTGTTATCTCATGAAAGAAAATCTTAATCACATTCTATAGGAAAAAAATAATAGAAAATGGAATTATTTGGTAAAAGATCTATTTTGTAAATACTTTTGTTTTTCATTCAAAGGAATTCTCAAATCCCTTTCCATCTCCCATTTACAATCTAAAAAACAAAAATAAAGTAAATGTATTAAATTTTATAATAATTACTTTAAAATCTTAATAATTGACAATATAAAAATTTATACTATAATAGTTTTCCAATTAAACTAACTAAAATCATAAAGCAGATCACGATAAAAAAAACATAAAGAAAAAAAAAAGGGAAAAGAAAGCCATTTTCTCGTTGAAGCATGAAAATTTCGCATCTTCAACCATTTTCTACTTTCACTAAAAAACTAAAAAAAAAAAAAAAAAGGCTAGATGAAAATAATTAAGAGATAAACATTGAAGCATGTCAAGATAGTAGCTAGTTCACAACCTTCAATTGATCACCTTTCACGAAGGATTTCTTCTCTAAAAATAACATGTATGTTTGGATAAACATTTTTAATAAACATTTTTATAAGAGTTTATTAAAGAAAAAATAAGAAAAATAAACCATTTTTTATAAGTTAAATTTAAACATGTTAGATGATAATTTAGTAATAATGTTGTGATGATTGTTTTAGTTAGGTTAGTTAGTTTAACCATGACTATTTTAAATACTATGTTTCTATGGTATTTCATTAGTGTAATTGTATAACTCAATGTACCTCTTTCTATTAAAATTCTCTCGATACTTGTTTATATACCCTTTTTCCATTAACAATTATATCAAGAGCTTCAAGGTCTGGGAAGAAGAAGAAGAATGACGATAACAAGAACTAGGTTGCATGGCAACTGTTAGTGCTCGATAGCAAGAACCTAAATGGGTACGATAGTTAATGTATAAAGATGAAGGACATTTTTTTGTTTTCAAGAAGTTTTGGACGTAGTTCTAAATGAATATGAGGGGCTATAGAGAACCCCACCGAGATGTAGCATGCGACATTTCGAGAGGAAAAGAAACATGATTGCAAAGTTATGTTATACATTCATCAGTGTGTTGATGAAAGCAACTTTGAGAAGATTTCGTTGAGAAACTCGGTGAAAGAAGCATGAGATATATTGGCACATAGTTACGTAGGTGGAGAAAGGTTGAAGGTGGTGCGACTTCAAATCTTGCATCGTCAATACGAGTTGTTGCAGATGAAGACAAGAAACCATCCAAGAATAATTTGTAAGATTGTTGTCGATCATAAACTTGATGAAGTGTTGTGATGAAAGCTTGAAAGAATGAGTAGTGGTGGAGAAGGTGTTGAGAACCCTCGATGTTAGGTTTGACATAATTTTTGTAGCTATCGAAGAGTCAAAGGGTCTCGATTTGTTAAAACTTGATGAACTACTGGGATCATTGAAGACTCACAAACAATGGTTACATGAGAGAGCAGAAGAAAAGTCCAACACAAGGCGTTGTTCACGAAACAAAACCAGAAGAATGAATGAAATCATGGAAAATCGAACAAGAGAGGTCGAAAAAAAGGAGGAGGTAGAAACAACGGTGGACGAGGCTCAAAAGGAAAACAAGATGGCTTTTCACAATTGAAAGGTGGCAAAGGCAGAAACTCATAATGGAGAGGTGGTCGATTAGGCTTTGTTGCGAATAAGAAGAATGCACAATGTTATAACTGTTACAAGTATGGTCATTATGTTGATGATTGTTGGAGCAAAAAAGAAGACTTGGAAGATGAAGTGCTATTAATGGTGACCACGACAAAATCAATGGAGACTTTTAATGAATCTTGGCATTTGGATACTGGTTGTTTGGATCACATGTCATTTCAGAATAATGGTCCATCGATTTTGATGAGAGTGTTAGATCAAAAATAAAATTTGTAGATAAATCGATAGTGAGATGTGAAGGGAAAGGAAGAATAATTATTAGAATAAGAGATGACAAATCTGCAATAATTTCGGATGTATTATATGTTCTACCCATAAAACACAATTTATTGAGTATCGATCAACTTCTTTAAAAATGACATTTGATCAATTACAGATTAGGGGAACAAATGTTGAGAATCATTGATAAGAATGAGACACCAAATTTGAAGGCACCTCTAAGTA